TGGTCCGGGCCTTGGGCTGTAGCTCACATCCTTCGGCTCGGCTCTATAGCCGCTGTTCGATGCGATGCCCCCCAGCTCTGGCAGAGGTGGGCTTCGATCGCGACGTGGCCGCCAATCTCTCTGCCTGGTATCGGTGCCCCAATGAGATGGCCCCTTGCACTTGAACTTTGAACTTGTATGTCAGATGACCCGTGAAGAGGTTTGCTTCGCCTGCGACGTAGTGAGCCGTGAGTGAGCCGTGATTAGCTGAGGCCTGCCGCGGCGGACACTTCAATGCCAGCAGCGTCCCCGGGGCGCGCGCGCAGGACGGGGCCTGGGGTTGGAGGTGAATGCCTCTCAGGCGGTTGGAGGGCCTCCTGGGGAGTGGGCTTGGGCACACAGCTTCAAGCAAAAGGGTGCTTTGGACGCCCCGTAGCCATCGCAAGAACATTACGCGATCATTGCAGACATCGGGGACTCTGAGGGGAGCAAGTGTCATGGTGTGTTCTGGCAGGAGCTGGAGCCTATGTGTGAAGAGGGCTATCGTGGCCGCGGGATACTTGGTGCAAATTTGCGCCCGCAGAAGTCACAGCGAGAGAGGAGAGAGAGGGAAAAAGATACCAAAAGAGGGATCTATTGTAAATTATGTGGCTTCCTTATTAGGGTACTCGCAACTTAAATCGAACTCTTTAACAGGGACCCGGTTCAGAGGTGGAGTTTTCATTCATTTTGGCCCGCCAGGAGCGCAGCGCCGTCGGAGCAGGATTTCACCAGTCAGGGAGGGATGGAGAGGGAAGGGGAGGGAGGAAAAAAGGTTTGCATAACGAGGTTGAGGTGGAGGAGGGAGGGGGGAGGGAGGAGGGAGAGAATGGAAAGACCGCAAGAGGTAAGAAAGAAAGAGAGAAGTGTGTATAAAAGAAGCGAAGGCATCGAGGGCGGCACTCCTTGAAACCGCGTCGAGGTGCACGAGCTGCACTGAAGGCCACGCGCGTGCGGATGCAGATGTTCTACAGTGCATCCCCTGCGCCAACTGGACAACCTCACCAAAGCAGGCCGGGAACAAGCAGAGGGAACAGGCACAAAGTGGGCAGTGCGGTTTTCAAGGTGGTGTGGTACATCAGCTTCTTTCTTTTGAAGAACCTGGCCCTCTTCGTTTCGGCAGTTGTCAGTGCCATTGCCCCAGGGTGCAAGGGAAAGCCTGAGCAGCATTTGCTGCCGGTGCGTGTGTGTGCTCGGGTCTCTGCCATAAGGTTGAGGGCAGCGGGGGCAAAAGGGCCGCCAGCGCCACGCTGCTGAATCAGGCCATGTCCTTCGCCGCTGTAGCCGGTGTGACCATGTGGCTCGGAACAAAAACGGTGCCTGAGTACCTGTACTGCCTAGTTTGGACTAAGGTCCCTATCAAATCTATACCGGGGTATTTATACAGAATGAGAACCAACAGAAAGTACGAAGTTTAAGGAAGTCTGCTTCGGGCTCTGCAGAAGCTTCGTGCTGAGCTTTGTTGGGCTCCCGAGGTCCGGCGCCATGCAGACGGGCACTTTCAAGAACGATCTCAACAATGCAGCAAAGGACCCCGGAGCCGCCGTCTCGTGCTGGCATCCTTACGTCCCTGCTTTTGTTCTCAAGTTATCTTAGCCTCTCATAGCTCGCCGTCGCAGGTTGCCCTCCACCTGTTGGCTGTGCCGGCATCCATCGCCCAGGGGCAAGGCTCCAGTGATGGCGGCAGCAACAGCATGTCAGGCCAGTGCCTGCTTCAGCTGCTTAACATGGACAGCGGCATCCACAACGTCCACATGCTAATGTCCCTCTGGCCAGCGCTGCTTGTGGCACCCTGAACCGCATTGAGTGGATGGCTTAAAACTTTCAGTCAGACCAGGGCCAACCGAAGGTGCGGTGCTCCGAATTTCAGTGCGCCTTTCACTGGCCCGAGGCAGGTCTCGCCGTGTTGAAGGGCGGCTGGCTTGCGGCGGTGGTTGGAAGCAACGTGTTCCTGCCAGCCTTCATCGCCGGATTCGGAAAGTGCCTTGGCGGCCCTTGCAAAGTTTCAAGGTTTGCAAAGCCGTGTTTGAGGATTTATTTGGTTCTGGGTCATACAGAAATTCTATAGGTGTTTCGGGTTTATAGGGCTCTATAACGTCGCATGGCCTAGGTACCTCGTGGCCTTCCGGCTGCGGCCTGAATCAGAAAACGAGGCCCTCGGCATGCCTCCTTTGCGCTGGGTAGTCGTTTTGAGGTTTAGGGCATATACGGCTTAGGGTTTAGGGTTTAGGGTTGCGGTTGAGGTAAGAGCTCGCACGCTTGAGGCGCTGCATCTGGATTTCCTTCCCCCCGGGCCGCAGATGAGTTCCCACATTTCTCTGCGGATCGCAGCAGTGCTGGGTGCCATCGTGGGCTTCTCCGCGCTGAGCGTGTGCAGTTGGATCTACACCGTGCCTTGGTCGCCGACGGTCGCCAGAGATACACATTCGCTGTTCAGCTGCCTTTCGAAGCAGAGCAGCGTAGAGCCGACGAACAGTCGAAGCTCCGTTGCCTTAAACCCTATAAACCCTGAGCCAGTAAGCCCTGAAACCCGAAGCCGCAACAGGTCAGAACCCGATCGCCGGAGGCGACACGACCGCACGTGGCCTATTTGATTCAGGCAGGTTGTCCTAAACCCCAAACTCCGAAAAGCGTACATACAGCCCTAAAACCCCTACATTAGAAGCCCAAACCCTAAACCCTCTGCCAGGCATACCGACCTGAGTGTGCCATTTGGGAGGCCAGCTTTGTCTTGTCGGATCGATCCTATAGTCGGACCCTTAAGAATGCTTCCTTTAATGGGTTAAAGGGTTTTACCATAAGGTTTTTATTTGGACTGTATGATAGTTTGCGGCTTTAGGATTTCGGGGTTTGGGTTTAGGGCTCTAGGGTTTTTGCAGCTCGAATGTCTCTGTTCCTCTCTTTGGCACTTCGTTTTCGTGTCGGGGTAAAACAATCGGTGAAGTGCCCGCAAGCAAGCTGCCATGACCGCCAGGTGGAGCGGCTGATGCGTAAGGCCTGCATTGGGGGTCCGGGGAGGGGCATGCAGACCTGCAGTTCTAGCCGGAAATGTGACCCTTCGTGCAGCATCCGTATCACTGGTTTCACATGGTCTGGAGGGCTCCTGGACGGCTCAAGCGCACATGCAGTCTTTTCTGTGGATCAAGGTCATGGTAGGACACGCATGGTGCGCGCGGTTTCGAGCTACAAGAAGCTAAAGCGAACAAATTCCAATAAATTCCATAATCACCCACAAACCTGAAAGGATCCTTTCTGTGCCTCTAAGCCATAAATTAAACCCAAAACCATCAAGCCCACACCTAACCCTAAACCCGAAGAATGAGAGAAGAGTTCCTGCCAGGTGGTCCTGTCGCTGATCGCCACCATCCTGCCTGTCACTTTGTCGCCCGTGGCTTCGTCGGCACAGCAGCCCAGGGCACCCCGAAAAAGATTGCAATGCTTACGTACCTACCGAAACACCAAGCCACACACATACATACCTGTCCATGCCTGCCTCCCTTACCCACCTACCGACCTACCTACCGACCGACCTCCTAACTACCGACCTCCACCTACACTTACCTACCTGCCTCCCTACCTACCTACTTACCTACGTACCTACTCGTGCCTACTGTACCTACCTTACCTTACCTTATCTTGCCCTACCCTACCTACCTACCTACCTACCTACCTACCTACCTACCTAACTACGTACATACGTATACATATACTTATGAGTCAGCAACATCTGTATATACATATACATATATACACACACATATATATATAATATGTGCATGTATGTATGTATGTATGTATGTATGTATGTATGTATGTATGTATGTTTGTATGTTTGTATGTTTGTATGTACGTACGTACGTACGTAGGTAGGTAGGTAGGTAGGTAGGTATGCATGTATGTATGTATGTATGTATGTATGTATGTATGTACGTGTGTGTGTGTGTGCATGTGTGTAATTAACTCTGTGTGTGTGTGTTGTGTGTGTGTGTGCGTCCTTCTCTGTGTGTGTGTGCTTGTATGTATGTATGTATGTATGTATGTATGTATGTATGTATGTGTGTATGTATGTAGGTATGTTTATTTGTTTGCATGTTTGTATGTAAGTAGCGTAGCGTAGCATAACGTAATATAATGTAATGTGATGCAATGTAGTGTAATGTAATGGAATGTAATGTAATGTAATGTAAGGTAAGGTAAGGTAAGGTAATTTAATGTAATGTAATGTTCTGCCGTGTTTTGTCTTAGCCTGTGTTGTTGTGTCTTGTCTTGTCTTGACTTGACTTGTCTTGTCTTGTCGTGTCTTGTCTCGTCTAGTCTTGCCTTGAATTGTATGTATGTATCTATGTATGTATCTATAGCATGTATGTCTACACATATGTGTGTGTGTGTGTACATACATTCAAAGTAGTCAACTGTACACAGAGATACATTCCCATGTCGAACTGGGATTCAATGGAGGGAAAGAGTTGTGCCGTCTCTGGGAAGCAGCGGGGAGCTCTGAAGGCACTTCAGATGGAAGCCGTGACTCTGGTTCTCATCGCGTCCCTGCTGGCGCATCTGTACTTCTGGCCATATCAGGCAGCCTGGCCCAATTGACTGCATTTTCGTTGATGCAGCATTTCAAGTCTTCAAGTGGGTCCTTTCAAGGGCTGCGCTCTAGTCGTGTCCTGCTTGTGCGAGTGAGGCAGATGACTGGAACCGTGCAGAGATCTACCTGTTGATCGTAAGCCTGACCATCACAGGGATGACCACTTGCCTCATCGTGACTGGCTCGCATTCAGCGGGAGCACTTTTCAGCTGGGGGGGGGTTAGGAGTGCTGCGGCTTTCAGCTGTGAAGCGGAGGCCAACGACCTGCACTGGGCGAAGTCCGCTTTGACGCAGCGCGTCCTGGTGTTCCTGATTTGCTCGATTGCTGGAGACGCCCGGCTGCTGTGGCCTTGGGGTCCCAAACTTCCCTTCCTTCTTCCTAATTTCCTCTTCCTCCCTTCCCTCCCTGCCTCCCTTCCTTCCTCGCACTTTATGTGGGTAGCATGGCCGTCTAACCGAAGCTCAGGGAATTTGC